GGAAAATTGACGAAATTATTGCCCACAATAATGTTCCCTAAATAAAAAAAAAGAGAAAGTTTTTAATGGTTAGCAAAATTTATAATAAGCTTTTTTAATCAAAGCATAAGATAGATAAAGTTGAACCTTCAAAAAGATTTGTTTGCTTTCTACTTAAGGAAATAACGAGCTTTCAATCTAAGCTTTTGAAGCCCTCACCTTTGATTCTCTTCTGTGTTTTTTTATTCACATCCCTTAACTTTCCATCAATGCTACAGTTTCTATCCTTAAAGCTAAAAGCTTTGACACAGAGTAGATTTGAGCCTTAATTACCATTTCAGCGAGTCACCACATCACACTTCATTTGTCTTTTTAAATTAATTAATGCCTAATGAGAGATGCTGATGTGAGCTTTCTAAATCAATTATGATGTTAAAAACTATCCAAGGGAACATACAGCTGCTCTGCTCATTACTTTCCTTCTTTAAACTTGTCTTTGGAATGACCTTCAAATGTTTTCTTTTGCTTTTGCAAGTAAATATGCAGGATAGATACTAAAATTCTCTGCATCTGTCTGATTGCATCAGTATGAGTTCATGCACTCAAGCGCAAGCACAGATTTCTTCTATAAGGTTTGGAGATTGACTGTCTTGTTCTCTCTCTCTGTAAACAGACTGGAAAGACGGGGAGGAGCAAAGAGGAGCTCAGCTTTGCAAAACTAGCTTTTATGTCATGTCTGTTTCCAAAGCTACACCCCACCCAGCCCTGGGGCCTGTTTCTCGAAGGATGCAGCACTCATCCTCTTCAGCTTATCGGTCTACCTAACTGACTTCTATCCAAATCCCTGCCTTTCACTGCCAAATCACCTGTCTCTCTTTGCTTGCCTCCATCTTCCAGCACATTGTTATTCATTGCTTCCTGCAACTCTATCTCAGGTTTACTGTGCTATGATCTTGTGGCGCTCTCTCCATTTCTTTATCTCACATATCCATTTCAGTTGCCCAGTCACGTGCCCTCCGCCTCACTTTGAGATGATTGCACACATACATTTACAGAAAATAAATCACAATCATTACGAACTACTGCCTGGAAATTCAGCACTTGTCTCGAATTTCAAAAATCAACAGCTGGCCCTCAGATTAAACATACAGTGCCGGGGGCTCTGATGCTCTTTGCTGCACTAATCAAACTATTTGGATGGAAAATAACATAAACTCTAGGGAAAAATAAAAACATCTGAAGCACGACTCTAGTTATGTAGATTTCATAATTACTTCTACATTGGAATAATCAAAAGTAAAGAAAAGCTACAGTGATGTGTCCATCAGCGGGTTCCTCTTAGCTGCGAACGGAGAAGAGATTGCAAACAGTGGAAGCAAATCTAAATACACTAAAGTAATTATGAGTAAGAAAAGGGAGGGTTGAACTGAAGAGAAGAGGCAGAGGCGAAAATTAGGGTGATGCTATGCTCAGGTGGCTTAGAGCGGATATTGTACGCCTTATCTGTCACCTGCAGGTCTGTGCTTATTATAGAAAGAGTCGAAGTCAGAGCAGAATGTGAGGCGAGTGTTTGAATACAAACTGTAGCACTGCCCTCACTTCTTCCACCACACTGAAGGAGACGGATGAAAATAATTATAAAAGGATAAATAAATATCAGGCTCTTCTGATGTGTTCTAAAAGCCATGCGAAGATGGAAGTCAAAATCTCCCGGCACCTTATGAACAAGCAGAGCATTTTTCATCTGTAAAATATGCAGGAGAACATTTTGGTCACCTTTGCACCAGATATGTGTGAGGACTATATTAAGATCTATGTTGATAGAGATTCCTCTAACAATAGTGCATCCATATCAGCCCTAGTGAGAATGTGATGCATTGCAAAATATATATATATATATATGGAAGACCACGTTAAGAATACTCTAGCAGTTAGGAATACTGTAAGCGTCTGTGCCTTGCAAAGGGTATTTTTAGATCTTCATCTTTTTCACATTCAGTCCCATTACAGCCAAAATGTTTGGTTATTTTATTTGAATTGTATCATACAAACAAAGAGAAACTATTATCTAAAAGGATCAGTGTAGATTTGTACCATGTTTTATGCCAGGGATGGTGTATTTAGGATGAAATGCGGTGTACATTTTGACCCTTAGAGGCTTTGGGCGTGCAGGACACCAAGTTTAGTTGTGATCAGATCTGAGGGCTTGCTTAGTCTCCCACATGGGTATTAGCAAACTGCAAATTGGATTCTGTATTCCTATTGCTTCCTTCCAACAACGACTTTCTTCTTTCTCTGAACTACATTTGTGGAGCACAACTGGTTCTCGCTGCAACATTTGTTCCAACCTATGCTTTGGATGTCTGCAGCTTCTTCAAAGTGTCCACAGGCCTCTTAGCTGCTGCTGTGATCAAGAGACCTTTCAGTAGAACTGTCAGTAGGTTAATAATTATTTAGCGATTGGCTTTGACATCTTTACCTTTTTATGATAAACCAATCAGTGCTCTGTCTAAAATTTTTCTGTGAAAATAATTCTGCTTTAAACTTTCACAACTTTATCGATGACCTGCAGGGCTCCTTGTTCTGTACAATTGTCTTTCCAATATAAATATTTTTATGAAGAGAGAAATTAAGTCATACAAAGCTAAATGTGTCTATCCCAAAGGCCATAAGTTGCGCTGAATTGTATTTTGGAATATCAAAGTGAAAGACGCTAAATACAAATGCACATACAACTTTCAAAATACTTTTCAAAAACGATGTCTGTGCACCAAGCTTGATTTCTAATAAATAAAAATACATTTGGTTTTAACATGGGAAGGTATTTAAATATTAACCAGGTATATGGCTGCTGTTGCAAGCTGCCTCATTCTAGTTTTAGGCCCGATGAGGCAGAAAGGTGTGTGCGCGTTGCAAAACATGTTTTGAAATTTGTATATCATAGATGTACTCAAACCTACAACGTGATCAAAGCCATATAAAGAGGTGATGTATCAGTAAACTGAAAATGTCTAATCATGTAAGAAACATCACTAAAGGCAAATTGGGTGAATACTTTTTTAAACTTGAAAACATGAGAACATGATTCCAGCTGTTTCTTTAATGTTAAAAAAACAAGATGTACTTTAGACTGTAGTGTATTACTTTGACTTTTGGTTTTGTTTTATCCTTGTAACAAAGTTTTTCTTTTCAAATATACACAAGTGTCAGGTTTTCTGCCAGCAATGAGAATGATTTTTATTTTTTTTTCTGAAAGGGCTGCTTACCAATTCTCTTGGATGCTACAGTATAAAGATTTGCAGCTGCAGAAAACGGTGCAGTTTGCGTTCTTCACTTGTAAATAAGGAAACGGAGTGCAGTGGACATGGATACTGATCAATACTCGTTCATCACAATAAAGCTCTATTCAGCATTTTGCATCTCTGTATTGAGTTGTGGAGTCTGAAAAGGATCAGCTGGTACTGAGGAATTGACTGGCTTTCTTTTAAGTCTCTCAAACAAAATAAGAGCAAACTGACTACCTGAGATATTGGGGATTTTTTTGTTGGTTTGTTTATAATAATACCCAAGGCAACCCAAATAAAATCTAGATTTAGTTGTAAATGCTGTTTAGAAACTTATTTTCATATTCTTACTTTTTGTTAAATTATTAATGCAAAGCTACACTCTTTTACTTTTACATTAAATCCCAGTCCTAATAATAACATCACTATAACTGTAATTGTAACTGCAATAAATGTGCATCAGGCCTGGGGTGCTGGCAGATATCACCAGCTCGCCAGCAGAAACACAGCTGAAATGCTGACCGAAGTCAACTGCAATGCTTTTTGGATGCCAGCAAAACAACATAGATACCTGCCTGAGGATGAACACATTCTACAGCAGCTGGTACTGTATGACACCCATCAGTGGATAATACTCTGAGAGTGTATTTGAGTTTAGCAGGAATGCTAAAGGAAAAGCTCTTTATAGATGGCAGAGTGAAATCAAAGCGCCATATCCTGAAGATCTAAAGCATGTTTATTTTAACTGCTTTGAAGGAAACATTGTAGAATACTTTTCCTTTAAGATATATCTTGGATTTTCAGATGATTGCACTGAATATATTTTTTTCTGTTCTACAGAATTTATATGCTGTGAAATTGGATGTTTCAGCCAAATACAGGCTAAGAGAATATGACACATAGACATACTTTCAAGTTTTCCATTTGGGGTGTTATATGAATGTATCATGAAAGTGATTTAAAGGCTTATTATGAAACAGAGACTATGGCATACAGTTTTTAATACTCAATTTCTGGACCTAAATTAAATAAAGCCACTTGCAAAAGCAGTAACATTTTCATGCATTTTACAGGCACAAATCAAGCTCTTCACATCATCCTATCAACTCTGAGCAGCTTTACTCTTAGTACTGTTTGTACTGAACCACAGTACCTCCTTATGCCCACGTCCGGCCACATTGGAGTGTTTACAGTTGTGTTAAACTCTTGTTTTTTAGACAAAGTATTAAACAGTTCCATGAGGTGTTTAAAGCTTAGTATAATATTTTATATTCTAACCCTGCTCAAGACTTCTCCAATCATTTTATTCCTCTGTAAACACTTTTCTGGAGTGCCCATTGGTCCTCATTTTGCTTTTTTATTTTTTTATCCCATCAATATTTTCAGGCAAACTCCTTAGAGCTTTGGAAACCAGCCTATAGTTTCAATTACACACTGACTTCTGTAAGAAGGTGATTGCAGAGTATTTCTAAGTGTATCATGGTACAGTACTCTGAACACAAATGTGCCCTTTTAAATACAAAATAAATACCACGTCCTTTTGCAATATGTGCTTAATAGCTTAGATTTATCTGCTGCATTTCAATTTCCCTTAAGCATAATGTATTATCATAGTTAGAGAGATCATCTTTTCACAGTATATTTTTTAATTTTAGTTTTACAAAAAAAAAAAAAAAAAATAGAAATCTTGTAGCTATGGATGGATGACTTCTTCAGACATTTAGCTTTTCAATTTACCTGCTGTGGTCAGACAGAGCTCCTCATCGCTGTTGTCCTGGCAGTTGTCCTGTCCATTGCAGAGAAAGCTTCGGTCCACACAGCGGCCGTTACGACACTTGAAGCGAGCCTCCGAGCACACCAGAGGATTCCCTGCTGTGGTTCAGACAGAGCAGGGGATGAAGGTCAGCATTTTGCTCAAAGGAGTTTTTATGGAAAAGGTTTCTGCTCAAAGGGAACCTGTTTTTAAACAAGCGCTAAGGTCCAAATTTTAGGAATAAACACCAGTGGGTTGTCTTCTTATTCCTTCTCAAAATTTGGAATTTTGATGAATAAAAACATAAAGTGAAAATGTATTTATATTAATAATTTTCTGTGTCTAAATAGTAAAAAACTAAATTTTGATCTGTAAAATTGATAAAAACAGAAATTTAGAGAAAAGAAAAAATAGGCAAAATACTACTGCAAACAATCAAGCCTTTGTAACTTATTTTCAGCCATTATTTTTGTTCTTATTTAACAGAAAAAAGGGGCATAGTCATTATCTGAGATTTTTCAAACAATTACACAGTTGTGATGCAGTATGTGCTGTGAGCCTGGAGCTAAGCTCCATTAAAATGCCAAGATTTGATATTTGATTGTGAACCCTGCAGGCAAAAGAACTGCCTTTGAGTATGGCGGGTGATTGAAGGGATTCTCAGTGGAAAACTGCAAGGTGGTTGCGTGAGAAGATACTTTATTAGTAGACATGCCTAAATAGCACTTTAAATGAGTGAGAGGCTAAGTTTAAAAACAGAGTTAACATGATTCCTACAATTATCACTTATACCACCAATCTAAGAGGAAAGAGTGATTAAAAATTAAGAGAACAAAAACTTTAATCAATCAATCAACTTCATTGTCAACAACAATTTACATTGTGATCGAGATTTTAGTTTCAGTACAATACTGAATATAATGTAATATTGAAGGTATATAAGTTAATAGAAGAGGGCAGAAATATGTCAACTTAATGGATATCTAGTTCTTTACACAATCATACTTGTGTCATACTTATTTATCATTAACCTTAAAAGGTTGAAAAAAAAGTAAAAGCTAGAAGTTGGGGCAGCAGGTCATTTTTGCAATTAATAACTCAGTATTTAGCAGTGTAAAAAGTTAATATATTTGGAGAAAATTATGATAAGAAGTAACGACTTTTGAGAAAATAATATAAGAAACAGTTATTTATGAAAGTTACTCCTAAAGCAAGTGTAGAGTCAGGGTAGGGTCAAACTTTGATATAAAAGTAACCTTTTAATTTAAGGAAACATAATACATATACAACAGTTTTAAATGTGTAAATTGATATGAAAAATGGTCAGATGGCCTTATTTCTAGCAGAAAGTATAACTCAGCTTAACATTTCAAAATGTTGCCAGATTCCTCTTTACTTACGTTAAGTTTATCTGAAAATGACATCTTAATATAATAACCCTATGGTAAGTCCCTGAGGAAAATCCAACCATATTAAGGTCTCATATGCTCTCAGGTGAAAACTGCATCTTTGCCCTCCAGAAGTTTCACCTGACAGCTCTAAAGATAAACCCTAAATCCACTCCTGTAACCTTCAAAGAACGGTTACATGCTGGATATGTTTTGTGCTCAGCTAAAATAGCCTCACAATGTGTCTGAATGTGAGAAAACCTTGACCTTCCTTGAATGCCAGAAAGCCTGACCTGTTATTCAGCTTGAAAACCAAAATGATACAATTTTATTCTAGAAATACTCTGCAGTAAAAAGTAGCATTAACAATAGTTAACCATATTATCCACATCTGTTTAATCCAAGAAGTCCTTGGAAATAAAAGATTTTCTGCTTACTGTGCGGCCAGCCAAACAGCATCTATCAGCAGTAACACAGTGTTCACAATTTAAACGAGACATTTTGAATCTTTTTAGAGAGAGGCTTTCAAGACTTAAGCATAATTTTAATTTTAAACTTAGGGCAAAAAATGATTAATTCTGAAACACCTGCGGCGTTTGCCAAAGGATGTCATTAAAGGTAAATATTTATTATCTGCCGGAGGCCTGTAGAAATTTCAGGAGTAAATTAAATAGGAAAACTAAAAAAAAATAAATATGCATGTCAAAATAAAGTGAAAACGGTGTTTTTAATGTGCAGAATAGAATTTATCCACCCATGCTTTCATTTCTTAGGTTAAAAAATGATACAATTATGGTAAAAGACAGCAAAAATGTGTATTCTGTCTGTAAATGACAAACACAGCATTTATAGAATTTAATAAACAGTAAGTATGCATTAAAACATCTAAACCATCTACTTTCAGTTCATGCAAGTATGTGATCCTTTATCTTTTAAATCCAATAATCTTTTTTTTTTAAGAAAGGACAGTTTTTTTTTATTTACTTGACTGTATTGTAACTTTAGTGCTGGAGATTCAAGCATAAACTGATTTCAACCTTTAAACTTAAATTAGGTGTCGTTTATGATGAGACAATTAAAGAGAAAAAACCTTTGGACTTGATACAACATGCGGTGTAATGTTGGAGGATCAGGGTTCCTATCAGCCTTGTCTGCAGCCCAGATGTGGGTCTCAATTAAAGAACTGCATGCATAAAAAATAATGATAAAAAGGACTATTGGGGATTACAAAGCTTTGGATAGATCACATCCAAATCAGCTTATTTTTTAAAACAGCATCTGTTTTTCACCTCAGTATCAGAGGATATTCACAAGCTGCTGTGTGTTGCTTAAGAATGAAGTAATGCAGTAATTGGTAAACATCAAGCTGTCCTAATGTGTTTACAAAGTTTTATTGTAAATTACACTTATTTTCTTTTAGTGTTTTACAATACTAAATACTCTTTGACATGGGATTGTTAATAATCTATATTCCCTCATCCTGCCATCTTGTCCATAACTCCCTGTATGAAGAGAAATGGGACATTCTGTAAAATTAATAGTGTGTATCACAGCTGGACTACCACTTTAACACTCGACTCAGATCTAACAGGAGCAATATTTTAATATTTCATGCCATGAAGCTACATTTTAGGCTCTCTCTCATCCATAAAGTGCTATGACCGGAGGATGGTACATCTTGAAATCGACTATAACTACTTCTGACTGTGGCCTGAAAGCATATGAGTGTAGCTGAATCTGGAGGGTGGATGTAAGAGACTCACTGCAGTTTTCTTCGTCACTCCTGTCAGGACAGTCGCTGAAGCCATTGCAGCGGAACCTTCCGATGATGCAGTGGACACCATTCGCGCACGCGAAGAATGTGGGAGCACACTTTGACTTGACCTTAGCTGTCAGAACACAGGGAGTCAGGGGAAGTAGTGGGAAGAGGAACAACAGATTAGCCTGTGCATGATAAGCAGAAGAAACTGCAGTTTTCAAAGAACTACATCATATTTAATGAAGCGGTTAGCCTTGGATGGGACGCATGAAGAATGTTGGGAACCACCCAAAGAAGCCAACTGGGTTTTTATTCAAGGTTTCATGTCTAAAAGGATACTTCCACAAATACACAGTGAAACACTATTTCAAAATGGAAACCCTGAGCTCCAAATAAATGATATTCAAGGTCCAGACTTAAGTATCAATGCGTCAGTAAAGATACACATTACTATTCAGCACACGTTTTCCCACAAGCCTTATAGTACCTTCACTGTTGAACAAATATAACAAAAAACGGAAACAGTCTGAACACCAAGAACCAACAGGAGAAACCAAGTAAATGACAAAGACAAAGAGAGCAAATTGCGTGGGAGAGTGTTTGTATAGATCCCATCATTGATCAGCTTAAGTGGGCCATGGGTCTTATCTCCAAGGACTGGCCTCAGACTTGAGTGGCGGGTCTGCAAAACATCAATGCTTCGATCATCCCCGGCAGCATGCAACAACACAACAGGTTTATGTAACTAAAGGAACTAAGAAATGAAGACATGTGCTTTAGTTTAAGTATTCTAACATCTTCCTGCTTATATAATACCTTAAAACAGGGGTCTTCAACGTTTTCCAGGCCAAGGACCCCAAAACTGATGGCGAGATGGAGGGGGGACGCCCTAATTATATATATTGTATGAAATTGTGTTATAACAAACTGGTCCTATAGTCACTCTATTACATATGGAGTAATTTAACAACCTTAATTTCGCCCTGGGATTATGTAAAGTATTTCTGATTCTGAATCCTGGTTGATGGGACAGGTGTTGTGAATGAAACGGTGCCCAGCTTGAAAGAGCTCCTGTGTGTCGCTGAATGTGTGCATTGATGAGTGTCTCCATTTAACTGTTTACTACAGGTTTTTAATTCATGTTAATGTGGATTTAAAGACATTTCAATTAGTGGAAAAATTGCAGGGGGGAATATAAAAAAAAAAAGTATAATCAACCAAACTTTCGTGACCCTCTACCTCTGTGGGTCCCCTAGGGGTCACGGACCCCCTGTTGAAGACCTCTGGCTTAAAATGTAAACAGATAAGAGACCCACTGATTTTTTTTTTTTTTTTTTTCCGCAGTTTAATCATTTAGATCTGTATTACTTTGCTTCGGCTGCTAGTGAACTCTTCTTTAATGATTATCCTCAGCTACAGATCGTCGAAAAAGTATTTCTACCTCTTTTTATAAACATTTCCTCATGTCACACCCAAACTCCTGAAAGCAGTCTGTTCAAATTTGACTCTATAAACCTCTATAAAGTGCTGCATAATTGAAACATATTTTTGGTTTTCAAAACTTTCCCAAATAAAAAAGGAAAGGTGTGGCAGGTATTTATGGTCAACTCACTTTTATTCAGTAAACTGTCATCTGGTTTGGTCTGCCGCGGTTTCCGTAGCGTCGTGAACTCGTAGGCGCGCGCTTTCAGGAAATCCTATACACTACTGTTTATGCTCTAAAAACATTCTAAATGACTTCGTTTCGAGTAAATTCTGGATGTTACCCACTCAGGACACTTGGAATACATTGGACGAGCAGTATGGAGGAATATTGACACGTTTTTTGTGGACTTTTATGGACCTTTCTGTCTCGGGCGCCATAGACCTCCATTATTTGAATGTCAGCAGACAGCAAGAAGCCTCCCAGATCTCCAGATGCATTTGAGATATCAAAAAAGTACTCCAGAGTGTTGTTCAGCATGGGGGTGAGTAGAAAATGAAGGCTAATCATGTTTTGGGTGTACTATTCCTTTAAATGCAAAAAAAATGCATAGTTTCTGGTTCCAAATCAAGTCATAAAATTCACTAAATCTTTGCAAGGCCCCCAAAAATAAACTACCCTGATGAAGGATGACCTATAACTCATAGGCCTTTACCTATAATTAAAGGTGGCTCCATAGAGTATTTGGTTGGGAGTTGTAGCACAAATGCACAGGCAGAAATATGATATTTGTTAAAAAAAAATAAAGAAAGAAATTACAAGCTTAAATATGTGATCAACTTTGTGTAAGTCGATAAATAAAAGATAATAGAAATTGAAATAAAAAAACTATATACATATTAGATATGTTGTAAATGAATTAAATTAATTTGATGCCTGTATAAAAAAGCTGCAAAACAAAAAGCAAAAAGTTAATAAACATCCAAGAAATCTGATAATGAAGCATCGAATGCTGTGACTAAAGTCATTGGCTCGCCGGCACTGAAGACAAAGGGAGGTACTGGCCTTCTCACACGCTGGCAAAGGCTCTCTCAAATGCCAGAAGCATGCATTTTCCCCACCTCTATATAGTTTGGCAGACTGATTTATGATAGCTTTCAAAGCTGGTATATCAGGGTAGGGGGGAGAGGAGGCAAAAACCACTTGGATTTGGGGCGTGCATCCCTGGGATGAAACGTAATCCGCTCAATATAGGAGTCTGACGGGATAGCAACCAATCTATGTGCATGTTGTCTAGGGAGCCTTTGTTTACCTGGATAGCTGAGAGTCTGAACAGCCAAATCATATTTAGCATGCTGTATCACACTCATTAGAGCCAACAGAAGAAACCTAGACAAGCCCCTGGGCTGTAAAAGAAGACAAAAATAATAATAATTGTAATAAAAAAAAACATAGTATTGCAAAGAGGATAGGTTAAAAATTCAGCAACAAATCTTTTTCTTTCAACATTTAAATTTCTTTATGATTGTTTTTTAATTCCAGATGTAGTTCATTTTATTGCTTGTCAGGAATGATGGAAATTTGAAATTTCTCTCCTACGAGAGTTTTCTCTCTTTATCTTTAGTGTATTGCCAGCTTGGCTAAAATCAGCGTTCTCTGCATCAAGACTCGTCAGTCACTCACTCCCTCCCTCATCTGAATCCTCATTACCACTTTAACTGCTGGCTACGATTCATCTCAGTCAATGTTTGAGCTTCAAATTAGCTCAAAAGTCAAACGAAGGGCAAACTCATGAGTGGAAAGCTGTGGGTGGGAGATGCGGAGCTCGTCGGAAGGATAGAGTTAATGTGCTTAGCTGTGTTTTGTGTAGGTTTAGCCATTTGTAGGCTCAGCCAAGTAGTTCTTAGAGCAGGACGTTGAAAAATTAATTATGTGGAGGAAGCAAAGTGCTTAAGATATGCGAAGAATGCAAACTTATCAGCTTTCGACTGATGATTCTGTGAAAGTTTATTTAGTTTGGATGTTAACACTGCTGTCTGCTCAGACATTTCTAAAAATTAGTGCTGCTCCACCTTGCTTTTGACCTTTAACCATTTATTTCAAATCTTCTTTGTGCAGTTAGTTGCCAAATGTTCCACCCCTTTGCTCAGTCTGTTTGTTTTTTAGAAGTTGTTTACAAAAATCAGGCAGAGTGTTGGACTGCTTCCAAACTTTGCTCTGCTGTTCAGCTGAGCAGCACAAATGAAAACGAATGAGGTTAGCACTTGTGCTCATTCCTTGAGGAAAGACTATGAGCAGCAGGAAAACATGGCAGTTTCACAATGAGAGGCACGGCTGGAGAACGCACCAACACACAAACAAACATAAAGGCAGAGGGGAAAAAACAGAATCCTCAGCTAAAAACAAGTTCAAACTTCAAGAATTCATTAAATAAATAATCTAATTTAGGAGAACCTTTTTAAAAAATGTATTGACGCCGATTTTTAATTCCATTACAAAGTAAAATAAACCATTAATCTCAAAATAATGAAAATATTTCTCATTATCATGGTGGTAGTTTTTGCTTTTGACCTTTCTTTGTTAACTTTTTAACTAGGGGGGTTGTGCAAACTCTATGTTATTTATGCTATAAAAACAGATTATCTGAGAGAAACGTTTGACTTTTTGTTAGCTTTAAACAGCAGTTTTTCAAAAGTACCCAAAAAATAAAAAATAAAAATAAAAAAGTTAATCTAATATATGCTCCCTTTACATATGATGTATTTAAATTTCTGGATGAATAACCTTTCTACACCTTTTGATTTATTTACACACATATAAATATAAGCATCGTGAATACTTTATTTTTTAGTTTGTGTGTCTTAATTTGGAAATGAGGATGAATTTTTAAATAAACTCAGTCAAAGTGAAAAACAGAATATTTTTGTCTTCATTTCCACTTTAGAATTATTATCAGGTTAGTCTGAGGATACAGGGCTCTGCTACTGTTCTGTATCCATCTTTTTATGCTCTCCTCAGTTTCTACAAGAACAGAATAACTTTCAACACAGGTAAACCTGTTATGGTGCATGATTGACAGAGTGTGGAAAGGGCCTGGGAGAAGAGAGACCGACAAAAAAGAAAGCATGGAGAGCAGTGGAAAACTAGCAAGCCAGAATAGAGACAGCCAAGGACTTCAAAGGATTTTCTGACCTTGCAGGGCATTTCTAAGGGGATGAAATCAATAGGTAATGGAGTCGTGATGTAAGCAAGGAGGGCGCAGACAGTTTGACTCAAGAGGGACCTGCAATCCTAATAATCACTCTGTACATTTCACTGTCTAGGCCTTGAACATGCATTTTAAATTAGAACCCTAGAGTGAGAGGAAATGCATTATATAACTTCCTTCCATTTCAGGAGAAAGCATTCATAAACCATTGGCATTGTGCTAATCCATCTATTCATAGTAAATGATACAGCAAGTCTGATCTGTATGCCATACACTAAACACATCAAGGAGAATAGTATCATAATTTAACATTTCCCAGGGAAAAAAAAATAAAGAAAGAAAATGACTACAAATGGGGCAATGGAAGGGCAGATTAATATAAAAAGGCAAAGTGTAATTTATCAGATCAGCGATCCAATGTAACGGCTATCATGGAAAGTGGAAACGAAGCTAAACAGACTAATTTCAGTTATTACGATTGAAAAATAGTTATTTTTTT